AGAATGATGCTTGTGATCTATGATGCTTGTGATCTGTGGTGCTGTTCTTTTGTGGTGCTGGTGTCCTGTGGTACTGGTGTTCTATGGTGCTGGTGATCTGTGGTGCCAGTGATCCGTGGTGTTGGTGATATGTAGTGCTGATGATGCTTGTGATCTATGATGCTTGTGATCTGTGGTGCTGGTCTTTAGGCACGGTGGCGAACGTAACCGATAAATGATAGAATCGTTCCGCAAGCTTACTTAATAAGGATCGAAGCCAAAGTGATTACATAAGCCCTAGAAGTCTGGTTTAAAAAGTATTTTACATCCATCTGTTGTTGTTGTTGTTGCTTGTTTGTTTAAGAATCAACTTTGCAAGAATCATAAGGTTATTTGTTCATACGGTTTTTTTTTTCTCTCGTCTTAGTGGCCTGGTTTTAAATAGTGCTGTATTCTCGAGCACAGTAAAGCCCGCCGTGACGAATGAACTCATACCCCCTGTGAAGATTGTCCTATCGGTCTCAAACGTAAGTTAATACTTATTCACACTCGCAGTATCACAAGTATGCACGTGATTCGATAGAATGTGTATCGATTGTGCACGTGATCAACTTGTCTCTTAAGCTATTACTTGATTATCGCTTGAATTGAACTGAGAAAAGTGTCCAAATAAGGTTTCAAATAACCTCAGAAATTGGTCAAGGATGTAAACATGAAATGGAAAATATCTTTCCGGGGAAATTTTAGGGACTTTGTCTCGTTATTAGAATGTTAGAGTTGTTGTCATCGACTATGACTTTAAAAAGAGTTTGAATATGTCTCTTTTCACTCAGGCTAGCCTGATAAATTATTACCAAGAGTGCGTTGCCTGGACAGCGAAAGAAGGGTTAGTAAACTGATTCTAACCGTGATATCATAACTTACTAGTGTGAGAGAAATTTGCCGCTAAAATTACTTTCCTCTTAGAGTCCATTTGGATTGAGTATCGGGTATCTACAGGCCTAAAGTAAGCAAAATGGCTACTAAAACCAAACGTGAATTTCTCAAGGAGCTCATAAGAGCTTAAGTAAAAACGAAAAAACTTCTGGAAGCGCCCAGAACGCAGTTGACAAAGTGCAGATGACTTTGGTCCTGTATCTAATTAGTTGAATGAGCAGCAAAAATTTGTACGACTAATCAAAGATCGAGGGAAGGCGAAGGAAACTGATCCCTCCAGATCCCACTCGACTCATTATTCTGAAGATCGCTATGAAAACCCTAGCTTTAGAAACAAGGAAATGAAGTCTCGTATCGAACGAAGGTAGCTAAGAACTTGTTTACAAGTCCAATGGACACTAATTTAAATTGCTCCAAAGACACTGCGCAGTTCAGGCATGGAATTTTAGCTAAAGACTGTAATAAGGAAACTTTTATCTTTACGTTTATTGTATGCTGCAATGGGCCACAAAAAAAAAGAAAAAAAAAAACCTTATAGCGTGGTTATTTGTAGAACAATTCATTAGATAGATATCAGCACATGGTGTATTAAACTAAATAAAAAAACTGTACGAATTTTCGTTTTTTTGCGATATATTTCAGTCAGGTAGGCGGAAAGTGGTCCTCGAGAGGCTGCAAATTAACTGGCTCCAATGCGACTCACACGACATGTGAATGTAACCATATGACGGATTTTGCCGTAATGGCTAACACCAAGAAAGAGAAGGTAGGTCTTCTGCAACCAGCAACATAGTCACCAATGAATTCAGTTGGGTTAAAACGCTTTGCCATTTAGAGTCAGGGTACTAAGATCTAAGAAATCGCGACGGTAAATCGGAAAGAGAGAAAATTTGACAAAGAAACGACGAGAAGTCAAAACAAAAGCAAACAAATTGACTAAAAGAGACCAAGGCACGGCAAGTTTTACTTTAGTTTTGCATCTCATTGGTCGAGAGGATTGGAAAGAGTTTTGTAAACCAATCACAGAGTGCGATGAAATGGAAAAGAAGCAGTGAAGGACTTGTTTGATAACCAGTCTAAACATCGTCTTAAAAGACTAATTTTGAATTGAAGTAGCTTTAGTTAATTTTTTCAAATTAGAATGGTTATTTCACAATTTATGGATGCCGAATACTATGGTTAATCTAGCTTATAGTCACTCCGAATCAACGATTTACAAAAGATTTGCCATAAAGAAGTCAATTTACTGCAACAGATAATATTGCTTTATAGGGCATTGGGACTCCTCACCCCTCGGCCTCAGTGCCCTCCCCTGGGAGTAGCCATGACCGTAGTTGGATTGGAATACTCGTGGGTATTCTGGCTGTGCTAGTGCTGATCATTATCGTGGTTGTGTTTCTTTTCTACTGGAGGTATGTGTTGGCGTAAAACTCGCATCAAGACATGTCACCCTCTTATCTCGAGTCATTTCAAGATGCCTTGTCACTCCATCACATCTTCTATTGTATCGACTGCCTTTCCTTGCCATCACAGAGGGATATCACGCTACATATGTCACGTGATGTCATGTCATTAGCTTCGACAATAGCATGTTACTTTATACACATGTGTAACACTGTGTCAGTCCCTTTTTCTAACAAACATATTCCTTAGCAAGTCACTTTCATCTCTTGTTTTCAGGAAAAGAAGAAGAGAACAAGGGCAGGGAGATGCTCCGCGTCCACGACCTCGAGGTACACCGAGGAACATCGAAGTTCTATAATAATCTTTAACAGGGGCTCAAAATGCGATTTAGAACTATTTCAAATAGAAGATGTATTCATTGAGTTAGTTTAAGGGCCAGAAGGTAACAATTTAGCTTAAGCGCAAGAAGCGCGGACTGACCGCAGCTTCCATCCGTTCGTTCGTACCTAACTCTATCTCTACTTTCATAAAACCGCTACTCTGTCTACCTCTACGATTCCTCTCCTCTTTCAGCCCGCATCCGGCGGGACTGTACGCAGGACAGAGGCTTATAAAGACGTGCTAGCGTTATCGCATATATACAAACCTTATCCAGGGATGTTTTTTATAGTGTTTTTCAATTAAAGCGCACACAGGCCGTTCCAAGCCTGTCAAGGTTGTTAACGTTATTCTTTTTCTATTCGACTGAACAGGACTAAGGAGATCACGATCTCTTTCCCGGTCTAGTGCCAAGCCATCTCGATCCAGTAGCTCAAAGGTTGGAGTTTGAATTAGTCGATAGACGATTTTCGGTATAAAAAAAAAAAATTTGATTGGTTCTTGTACATGACGTAAAAGGTATTCTTTTGATATCAATTACAGAGTGATGGGGCAGCCAGCCCAGCATCTAGTCATTCGAGTCAGTTTGATGAAATGATCGCAGCAAGAAGACGAAGGATGGCTATAGACAAAGAGGTATCAACTCAGCCTGCTAGACGAGTTTCCGAGCTATCATTGCGCAAAGAGAAAGTACATAAAAAGGAAAAGAAGATATTCTCGTCGATTTCTCATATTTCCTTTGTATTTGTTCCTGTTTTTTTTTTTTTTTTTAATCCGCTCTGTCTGCATGTTCAATCATTTCAAGGATGGCAATCCTCTCGAAGTAAGGTCGCTCCTCTGTCGGTTGACCTTTCGCTAATATTTCCTTTATTCTTATTATGAAACCATTTCCCTGGATTATTTTCATACAGGCATCTCCTTATTTATAATTCTTTTTTTTTTTTCTTACAGTCACCATTCGTTCTTCACTTGGAACTAGTTTCCCTCAATTTACTGATTAGAAAAAAAATATTCCTCAATTCAGAAGGAGAAAGGAAATTATCAGTCACCATACCCATATTGCCCCAGTTGTTAGAGTGTGGTGATTGTCTTGCGTAAGCTTGCGCGCAGTTAGAATGAGTTCGAATGCCCAATGAAGACCACGAAATTCTCATAGGTGAACTATGCGCATTTATTTTTCACCTTTTTTTTTATGCAGGAGAAAGCACGGCGTGCCCAAGAGGAAGGTGACGAAATTGCTGACGATGACCTCCTAATGAAAGAAAAAGCTATGTTGTTCTCTGATTACCATCAACCTTATCACTTCCTTTCTAAAGAGGACGGAAAGCGAGCGACAAGGAATAGAAGAGAGCAGCCTGGTTCTAGTGGGCGCAGTCCCCCTGGAAGAAACAGACGCTCGGCTACGGAACAAGACGGTGATGAGGTGTAATAAAAAAAAAAATTGCGATTTGCCAGAAACCGATGACGGGAAAGCAGTAACCCGTGTTTAATTTTGTGCAGATTTTCTTAAACACGATTGTATTATAAAAAAGAAAACAATGTTACTTTTCAAGTATTTTTGCAATAAAACAAAACGCGCTTAACTCATGACGTCGCTCGTTTCAAAATGGCGGAGGCAATTGTACCTCGACTCCGTAATAATAATAATTATTAATATTATCATTATTACCATCATTATAGCAAAATGACACGAAAGTGCAGAAGATTGAAGGAGTAACCTACAGCTCACTCTTTTCCGTTAATAGCAGTATCTGTGGAACGAGAATCATGCCACGTACAATTACACACACACGATAGTCAGAAGTCAAATAATCTACAAAAAAATAAATTTTATTGTCATACACAGGGGTGCAATACCAGCGCTGGATTAACATGAGATTCGATTTAATAAATAAATAGCTGAAGCAATAATAACAACTGAAATTAGAGTACAAATTTCACTGACACTTGCAATTGGCCGAGGAGCCAGCAAAATATTAATTTTTTAACATTTGTGATTAATAGAAAAAGATAAAACTGCGATGTTTGCTATTCAATTCTACGATGTTGCCAAACGACAGCAGCTACTCATTTGCCTAAAGGCTCAGTTACAATTCAAATTACAAAGTCCATATTTCATTAGAGCTCAGCCCCCTCTCGCTTAAATTGACCTTATTGGACACTGGGTACCAGTCATACCTGTCAAAATTTGCTGCCCAGCAGCAAGTTAACTATTCCTAGTAAAATTACATTATTTTACACAGATGAGTTAGGAAGAGACAGAGTTTTATCTCCGGCAGTACAGCTTGCCCTTTTGTTATCCTCTTGGGTGGACGACTGCAAAGAAATAAACGAGTCTAAAAGATCAATGACCTCAATGGACAGGTCTTTGTTTCACGCTGATGAGACAGAGATGAAGGTAATTTTGAACAACTAAATACAGAAATCTTAACAGCGGCACTGGTCGAGTGGAAAGAGATCGCTGGTGAAACGAGGGTATGAGAGGATACTTTATGCCCCAGCCTGGTCTACATATACGGTCTACATATAACTGGTCTACATATACGTCGAAATAAAAAACTAATTATAAACCTCAGTCATTTTCTTTTAGCTCTGCGTGAGTCTGGGCAATTCCGCGACAAGGCAACACAAGGGGACTGACGAGGGACAATAACTTAAAACGTGTTGCCTTGTCGCGAACTTTCACGGGCTCACGCAGAGATATCGTGGTAAAGCTGCGACAAAGATGACTGAAGTTGTGGTCGCTCTTCACTTCCCTGCGGGCTCTTACTCCGGCTTGCGCTGGCCAACAAGGAATGTTTTCAGACCGGAAGCCTTGAAGTCAAAAACTTTCTGTCTAAATTTGCTAACCATGACTCCCTGAGGTCAGTGCCTTAAAGTCTGTGCAATTGGTCGTCTTAAACCGGATAGTACTTTGAAAGGATTTGGTCTCCTAGAGGTTTAGTGCTAGACGACTTCAGCAGTGAAATTAAACCAGATGTCTCCAGAGGGCGCTTTCCCTCATCATGCCTTAAGTGCTCCCCTAGCTATCTTCGGGGAGGCAATCATCATCAGTGACCTTACTGTTTCTCAAGCGCGCGACAAATGACATGTTTTACATGGTTCGGTCAAACTGGTTCCGTCCTATGACGAAGTGATGTGCGCTTCCATTGCCACCTGCGTTGAAGTTAAGCCCAGAAATTGGGGACGTTTTGAGTGTCCAAACTTCTAGACGATAATGCATGGGAAGAAAAAGTCTTCCAATCTCTAAACAACGACATCACACAAAATGCACGTAAGCGAATAAACACCGGCTTAAGTCTGTTTCTCCCAGTTCGAGCAGAACTGTGTTACTGGAAAGCTCTCTTAGCCTACGTAGATCTGAAGATCATATTTAGTAAGTTCAAACTCACCTCTTCGTCCAGAAACGATTCTGAAAATTGAAGGATGACGTTTGTAAACTGGTCATCTTCAGTCAATTCCACGGAGTCGTTTGTCAGTTTAGGAATAAACTCTGGCTCAAGGTCTGACATTTCTTCCGCCGAGCATTTCCGCGGAGAAAGATGATTACACTCAGATGAGCTCTCTGAGTTTGAGTTCCATCTTTTTCTCCGTTTCACTGTCCGTCCCGTCACATTAATGACAGGAGACCCTGGCGTGTAGGGGCAATCACTACAAGAGTAGCTTAATGTAACAAGATTATTGTCAATGTCACTACAACTACCGGGGCTCTCATCTGTATTACCCAACAAAGTGCCTTCTACACCACCCTGAAAATAAGGTCCCTTTTTGTTTCCTTTGCTTGGACCCCCTGTGGACATGAATTCTTTGATATTTTGGGTCACAGCCCTTGGTGTCCCAGGCGATCTGCGACGCTTTGATTTGCTTAAACAACTGCGACTTTTTTTGATCTTCTTAAAGTAGCTCTGTGTCTGTTGATCGTCACTATCGGCTTCTTTGGGCCAGCAGTCTTGTTCTGTAGGACTACTGGAACTACTTGAGGTGTTGGGACTAAAATAAAATGAATGCAAATGACAACAACAAGATGAGTCTGTTGAACAAACACATTCTATGTTTTGTAAATAGAATAAGAAAGATGGTAAGTTTTGAGCTCGGTAAAGAAATAGAGAAGGATCATTTTTGTCTCATGGGCCTTGCTCGCCACAGAATCTCTGTGGCTCAATGATAAAGTATCGGAGCGCGGAGTCCGAAGGTCGGAGCAGAAGTTCCATTCCTCGCGGGGAATCGGAATTTTTTCTTTGTCCCAAGTTCGTGACAAGACGGAAAACATCTTTCAGTGAATTCTATGTTGCTGCGCGTCTCTCCAGTAATAGATCAAATATCACTTTAAAATGTGGAAACAACAATAATGACATGCGAGACGCAACTAAGTGTGTCACCTCATTCAATGACAAAAAAAAGCAAAAGACTGTTAGTGGCAACGTCATCTATGCATCTGTACACCCACAGATCATATGTATCGAGAACCAATTAAAGTGCGCGTGTAATTTAGCTTATTACCCCCTCC